TTTTGCAGCTGTTCTCTTCATTGTTGATTTCTTTCTAGAACTAATGTTCTTAATCAATTTAATGTGCTTTTCGGAGTGGACTAAAGCTAAATGATTATCCTTTGCTTCCTTACCGTTTGAAACTATACATCTGAAAAATCGAAATCATTCATACAAATTCAGAATCATTTCTCACTAAAGCAAATGGTAACAATTTTCCATCTTGTTCCACAAAACTGAAAAATATAGAAAAATATTTTTATTAGAGTAAAAAAAATATCAATAAAAGATTTTTGAGTAAAAAACCACATGTTTTTAATCTTCACCATGTTCTAATAAATCCTCAATTTCAAACCTGAAAGTAAAAATCACACAAAAATAACAGCTACACAAAAACCCCTACACCCGAAGCAGAATCATTAACCACAAGAACAATACACACACACACACACACACACACACACACACACATACACACACACACACACACACACACACACACAGAGAGAGAGAGAGAGAGAGAGAGAGAGACGGAGACCTTTGAGCAAGGCCAGAGGCGTTGAGCTTGTCCCAAATGGCGCGAATTCGATTGGGGTTTTCGACGTGGTCGTCGTCAACTGGGTCTGCATGTTTACACATTCTGTCGTCGTACATCAGCCCAACACGACGCCGTTTTGGGGAATCTTCCTCCATTATCGCCATACTCTCTCTCACTCAGATTGTTAGAGCCTTTTTCACTCAAGTTCGAAGCTAAATTGAACTACAAAATGCACTCAAGTATACGAAAAGGCGAAATAAAGTTGGGGCGTGTTTGGTTAATGTATTTTGAAAATCAATTGTAGCCCTTGGAAAGGCACGTGTTTGGCACGTGATAACCATTTTGGCGCTCATCTTCTCCCCCTCCGACATAGTAATTGCCTTTTGAATTTTCTGTAACATTTACCCTCAAGTATTATTTATAAAACTTGCCCTCTCAAGTTTAACTTAATTTGTATTTTAAATCTTAATACATTAAAATTTTCTTTTATATTTAAATAAATAGCTAAAAGAATAATTAAATTATACAAATAAAAATATCTATTGAAAAATGCAATATTTAAAATTTAAAAATATTATCTTGTGTTGGGTACATATTTAATAAGTAACATCTAATTTTTTTATTGGAACAAATAATCAAATATATTCATATGGATAAATTTTAAGAAATCAATACATAACTAATAGTAATCTTAAGTATTGAAATATACTTTAGTTCATTAATTTCATAAATTATATTTACATTCATTATTATACAACATATATTACTTTTTATCTTTTTTCCAATAATTTGTTGTTTGTTACTTATCAGTTTCTTATGATCCAATAATCATTATATTGTTATGTTTATTAGTTTTTAAATTTTAAAATATAAAATAATTAATGTTGAGGGGTTAAGTTATACGAATAATACTTTAGGGGATAAGTGTTATGTAGACTATACTTAAGGGATGCAAAGTATATTTAATGTATTAATGCATATGAAATATTTACTGCTGAAGACACTCTAAAACAGTGGTTGTTGAACCCCAAGATTAAAAAAAAGAGAGATTTTTTTAGGTATTTTATTATATTACATTTTACTTTTATTACTTTTGACCCCCAAATATTTTGTAAATATGTGTTTTAACCCTTTAATATTTTATTTCTTTTCCATAATCTTACATCAGTTATAGATACTAGTACTTCACCTGTGCGATGCACGAGACATAGTGAGATGAATGGTTAATGTGCAATACAAAGTCGTAGAAAATATTAAATTACTGCTTTATTAGTATTAATCCTAATTATAATCCTTATACTAATACTAATACTAATTAATATTAATACTAATACTAATAACACTAATACTAATATTATAGCTAATGTTAATATACTAATAACAATACCATTATCATTACCAATACCATTATCCTTATCATAGTCATTACTATTACCATAGCTATTACATTACCAGTCCCATTGCCATTGCATTACCATGACCACCATTACTAATACCAATATCAATATCAATACTTAACAATAACAATACCGATAGCAATACCATTACCGATACCAATGCCGATGTCAATACCAATACCAATGCCGATGTCAATACCAATACCAATACCAATACCAATACCAATACCAATATCAATACCAATACCAATACCAATACCAATACCAATACCAATACCAATACCAATACCAATACCAATACCAATACCAATACCAATACCAATACCAATACCAATACCAATACCAATACCAATACCAATACCAATACCAATACCAATACCAATACCAATACCAATACCAATACCAATACCAATACCAATACCAATACCATTATCATTACCA